GACCTCTGCCGAGTCTGGGAATGAAAAAGTTTCTGTCGTTTTATTTGTAAAACAAACGAAAGATTTCGTTGTTTTGGGTTGGCCCAATACCAATCTTCGCTTTGGAGGCATTTCGGGTAAGTGTCTGGATACACAATGAGTAACTTGTACTTGTTTTGTTTCGAAATAAATAATCAAAGTTTTAAGAAATATTAGAACATATTTCATAGTGGAGTATTACTTTCAAATGTTAATTATTTAAATCATTACATATAATTTTAATAAATATAATTGACTCAGTATTCGGTAAAAAAAATTCTAGTAGCGTAATCTAAACGAAGGAAATATTCCATGTACAATTCCGATTTTAGTCTTGATCAATCAGACGCTCTGCTGGTGTAAAGAACATACGCGGCTACAAAGAGTCTGATTGAACGAGTAACAGTGTGCTCAGATACGTCATGAATACAATCGGTCAGCTTGAAAACGGTCCTAAAATGCACCAATATAAGAGTTTCGACCCACAATTTTGCATCTTATAGCGCCATATCTGTAAGACATGCGCCAGACTGACCCCTTTCTAATTTTTTAGTGCGCCATTTACAAATATTGAGCTCCAATGGCGCAAAGGCGCAGCCCAAAGGGATCCCTGCAGTGAGTATAAGGACTAGGATCATCAAATCTTGTACGTTGATGCATCTTAGAACTTCACATCATGTTAACTCGAAAGTGGGTCACGGTGACCTACTTTTTAAATTTTGCGGGCATTTGTTTTCAAATTGATTTGAAGGCATATTTTGGACACTTTAAGGCCTATAATCATCAAACTTTGTCAGTTGATGCATCTTGGGTCCTTAAACAATGTCAACTTAAAAGTAGGTCACCGTGACCTACTTTTTGAAATTATGACTAATCCTTTCTAAAACAGTTAATCCCATTATTTCAGACACTTAGAGGTGTAGAATCATCAAATCTTGTAAGTTGATGTATTTTGGGACCTTAAAACATATTTATGAAAAAGTAGGCCACTGTGACCTACTTTTTGAATTTTGCGGGCATTTGTTTTCAAATTGTTTAAAAGGCATATTTTGATTACCTTCAGACCTACGATCATCAAACTTTGTCAGTAATTGCATCTTGGGACTTCGAAAAACGCGACCAAAATGTAGGTCACGATGACCTACTTTCGACATTTTATGGCTATATTTAAGTATCTCAGGTACTTATAGGCTTAGAATCATCAAACTTTGTCAGTTGATGTACATGTATCTTGGATTTTCGAAATCGTCTACTAAAAAGTAGGTCATCGTGATCTCCTTTTTACATTTTATGGCTATATTTAAATGTCTAGAGTACTTATTGGCTTAGAAAAATCAAACTTTGTCAGTTGATGCATTTTTGGTTTTCCAAGAATGTAGACAAAAAAGTAGGTCAAGGTGACCTACTTTTGACATATTATGGTAATATTTAAGAGTCAAAATCAGCAAGCATCGAGCATTGAATGGAAAGTCAAAATTTTATTTTTTTAAAAGCTTTTGTTATATAAAAGATTTTGACCTACCTAATGCTAAAACACAATTAAATTTTTTTTTTGAATGTATGAAGGGACTGGTATCCAAGGAAATTCATTTCCTTAGCAACGGGTTCATAAATCCTTATGAAAATCGATAATTTTTAGCCATTTTTCTATGAATATGTTTTCTGAACGTGATAAGATAAGGTATTTTGGTTACTTTATTTGTTGAAAGATGGAATTACTTTATTCTCCAAAAGTAGGAAAAACAAAATTTCTGTAGAGATATTGTTGCCATGACAACGGGAAAAGAACATGGCGTCATTGCTTATTAATTTTGAAAAAAATACATATGTTTATCACTATATACACAAAATCTACAACCATTGCTGGAAAAATGAATGGTGTGATCTTGTTAGGGGTTTTATACAATAAAATTTGCCGGCAACTTTAGTAGAAAAAAAGTTACAAATGGTTAAAATGTGTGACAATCTGGCATTTATAAGCTTTTTTGAAGGGGTGGGGGTAAATTGAATACATGTACAGTGTCTATTATAGTGGTCATAATGGTTCTGATCAAAGCATACTCATAATTTTACTATCTTTGATAAATAAATGCACATTCAATTTCAAAAGGAATTTCAAATTCCTCACAAACAAAACTTGGAAAGGGGGGAGGGGGGGGGGGTAGGAATCACCTTGTTCACCCATCCATATCTATGTAAAATTTTGACTCGTCCATAACATTTCAATGAAGTGCCACTGAAAGTTCATACTTGATACTGAGATTGCTTATGATCTAGAGATGAGTCAAAAACTTGACCCAAGGTCATTTGAACAAGTTCAAGGTCATTGGTAGAAGAATAGTGCAATCTTTGCCCATTCTGAAACATTTGAATGAAAAGACATGAAGTTTCATCTCGGAGATTATTTTTGAGCTGTAGGTTTGTCATGACCTTGACCAAAGTTCATTTGGATATGTTTGACCTTGACTCAAGGACGTAACTTTATCAAGGTCACTGCAGTAAAAGTGTACTATATGAGTTTGGCAATTGACATACTCAGTATTTAACTTCGAATGAAGAGAAATTGGAAGTTTGTGCTCAACACAACGGTTTTACTACCTATGACTTGAGTATACGTCAAAGTCATTTTGGTATGTATATCTGCACTAGCAAAATTTTGAAAAAGTTTTAAATTAATATTTGGACCTTTTTTTCTTATAAAAAACATTTAATGCAATAGCAGGAGGGTGGGTATCATTTTATGAGCTTGCTCACAATAATTCTAGTTTATTAAAGAGAGTCACTGTGACATCTCACACAATTTTAAAGTAAAACCATATCAATCAGGCATGTAACATCAGGTTTGGGTTGGGTAGGGGGGGTGACACCCCCCACCCAACCTTTTTCTCAACATGACCTGAGATTTTGAAAACATTTTGAAAACAATGTAGAAATTAGAAGAGAATGACAAATATGAATATTTTTTTTATATATATAATACCTAGAGATACAAAACATAAATTTGAGGAACGCGTCATTTGACTTTAAACTAGCTCTCTTTCTTTTTTCTCACAAAAACATTTTGTCAGTTTTGAAATTAATTGATTGATCATTTAATATTGACCTTGTTTTAATTATGATACTTCAAAATGCAGAATATATTAAAGATATGTTTCAGATTCTTCTACTAATCTAATTATGAATCTGCATGCCAAAAATAGATAGTTATTGGATTTACATCAACAAAAAATGCTAACAGACAAACCAAGAATGTTACTTTTCGATTAAACATTTTTATTTGATCCACTTTCATGAATACACTGTACAATTTATGGATCTATTTTCTGGATCCCTGAGTCTCCAGTAACACTATCCACTCACTTCCAGCATCAATGGTCTGTACTGTAATAATGTATTTTCATAATCTGAAAAAGTGATTAAATTAAAATGTAATAATATTATACAGTTTAGCCTTCATATACTTGGAACCATTTCTAGTTGGGCTTGAGCAATGATGATGATGAATGCAAAGCATGTTTATTGGAATAAATTAAATTCCAAGAAATCTCAATGGTTTATCATTTTATATTAAAAAAGTTAACGTTTTTACTAAATGTATTATTTACATGTTTTTCCTGTCTAATTCTATATCAGCTCATCCAATTCTGTTTCTGTTTCTTTCCGAGTTTGGCTTCAAAGTGCCGAATTTCATTCTATAAACAGAAGTATACAACACAGAGTTGAGACCCTATTGATCTTAGATATTCTTTAAATTTAAAAACTTGCAATTAAAAGGTCAACTGGTTCTATACGTTTTGTAAAAACTCTAAATTATGTTTTTTTTTATTTCTTTCAAATAACCCCCCCCCCCCAAAAAAAAGAAGAAAAAATGGAGTACAGATATTCATTTCACAAATGTCACGTGCTTTATATCTATTGATGCTTATCATTTGAACCTAGTTGACTTAAATTAGTTCAGTGGTACCGGAGAAAATATTAGATGAATATGAATTTTCTTTTATTAGTAAACACTGGATAACATTAGCAAAAAGTTTTTATTTTTTTAAATTAATTATTTTACTGTGGTATACATGTATATACAATTCAGTTACCACTAGTCCACTACATACTACACTTGTCTGTATCACAATACTTCCAAGGTAATCCCCTTTCCTAAACTGAAATATATTAAGTACAGAGTTAACCCCTGCCCCTTTTTCATTTTTTTACGGACGCCATAACAAAGGTCGTTCCATTTAGCAAATATTTCATATAGTGGTGGTTTTCATAAATTCATAATTTTTCATGTTAAAAGCAAGTATTATATTAAATGGTAAATAAAGATATCTACTATACAAAAATTTATTTACCCGACTATCAGTTATAATCATTATAGCTTGTGACAGTGGTGAGTGACTTTGGTTACATACATACACCGTGAATACAACAAATTAAAATTAAACAAAATTCAAATTAAACTTTATAATTTGGGATACAGTTATGTGACTGATCATAACCAACTTTTTCACGTTAGGCCCGTAGATACAATCTAAGTTGGGGGATTTAATTTCATTTGCTCACATTATAGTTTAATATCGGCTAAAGTTTGGGGGGGCATATAACCCCCCCCCCCTCCACCTGGTTCCTCAGGCTATGCATAATCTTTTCTTTTTTGTTATAAAATACTAAAGTAATGCTAACATGATTAATCGATCAGAATTAAATTTAAAATGTGCAAAAACACTTGCCAAGTGTTAGATATTTTACTGCATGGTTAATTTATGCTATACATTCTTCCGTAACTGTTGTAATAGTAAATTGTAAAAATTTCAATCACTCTCCGTAATTAAGACTCATGAAAACGCGAAAACTGAGGCTCAGACTGCTCCAAGTTTGTAATTTTCTGCTAGTCTTCTGTACATTGTTATTGAAAACAATGTAAGCAAACTACCATTTATTCCTCCTATGTTAGAGAGCTATACCAAAGGAAGGTAATTTGAAGCAAAAGTTAACAGAAAATTATGGATTTAAATCAGTTATCATATATAAATGCTTTAGTTGCCTGCAGATTTTTTTCTTGATTCTTCTAGAACAAATACTGTTTAATATATATTTTATGTTGATAAGCTTTAATGTGGTTGTAGATTTCTTATAAAGTACTTCAAATTTGCTGTTTTTTAAAGCAAAAAAACCTCCAAAAACTAGTTATATTTATCAAAAGGTGAAGAGAATTTCAAAAATCAACAGTTGCTAAAATAATGTATATTTATATAAATAAAATAACAATTTAAAAAGCTTTTTTTAATGATTAGTAATAAAAAAGTATTTGTTTAACCATAAATTCAAGTGTCATGATAAAGTACAAAACATGCTATCTGAAAGGCGCGTGGTTTCCATAGCAACAATGCGGAAAAATTTTTTTTGCTTGCTTTTTTCTATCATACCCTTTGTTCTGAAATTTATATATGAGTTTTAACCAAATCTGTTTCTATGCCACTTTCCACATTTTTTAACTAAATGCTCGATGCTTGCTGATTTTGACTCTTAAGTATCTCAGGTACTTATTGGCTTAGAATCATGAAATTCTGCCAGTTGATGCATCATTGGTTTTCGGGGAACGCAAACCAAAAATTACATCACCTTGACCTACTTGTGCCATTATATGGCTATATTTTCGTATCTCAAGTACTGATTGACCTAGAATTGTTAAACTTTGTCAAGTTGAGGCATCTGGTTTTCGGAGAATGTCAACCAAAAAGTAGGTCATGGTGACCTACTTTTGAATATCTCAGATACTTATTGGCTTAGAATCATCAAACTTTGTCAGTTAATGTATCTTGGGTTTTCGAAAATCGTATACTAAAAATTATATGACCTACAATGTACCTGTGACATTTTATGGCTATATTTAAGTATGTTGAGTACGTATTGGCTTAGAATTGTCAAACTTTGTCAGTTTATGCACCTTGGGTTTAGAGGAATGTTGACCAATAAGTAGGTCACTGTGACCCACTTTTGAATATCTCGAAGTACTTACTGGCTTATAATCATCAATCTTTGTCAATTAATGCAGCTTGTGTCCTCAGAAAATTTCAATCAAAAAGTAGGTCACCATGACTTACTTACAGTATTTTATAGTTACATTTAAATATCATCAGTACTAACTGGCTAAGAATCATCAAACTTTGTTAGTTGATGCATCTTGGGTCTTAAGATAGATTGTACAATTTATCAGAAGAGCGATTCAAGGCCCATGGGCCTCTTGTATTTTAATGCTTCAATTTGAAAATCAAGAGTTATCAATCAGTTTGTATATTTACAGGGCCATTTCATGCATAAAGTGAACCGAGCTCTCTAAGCAATCTTTATCTGAAATGGCAACTGCGTCTGTCCTGAGAAAATATGGAATTATGGGAAAAATGCATTGGAATGCAAAATGCTGCAACAAAATACCGACGGAATCTTTTGACCAAAAGAAAAAGACTTGATAAAGAGATGCATGTACACAGTTTCTTTGAAAGATATGACAACAGCCGAATGACACCACCTGGGATAAAGCAGACAATTACTGTCCGCAAGATGAAGAAACAAAAGCGCTTGTTGACTGCAAGTCAGGAATAATGTAGCAGATATGTCGCCGAAACAAAAGAAAAAATTAGCTTCAGTTCATTCTGTAGACAAAGACCCTTCTGGGTCATTGCCCTTAAGAATTCAGACAGAGACACGTAAAATACATGAAAACACAGCTTATGGCAGCACCTTACTGAAAAGAATCATATTAAGTACATGCAATTTGCATCTATTGGTAGAAAGAGTTTCATGTGATACTGAAAACATGATGTGGATGTATAGCAAATGTCCAAAATGCAGTGAGAGATGGTATAAAGGTGGACTTCAATGAGGCCGTAACCTGGAAATAGTGGATTACAAAAATAGAGGAAAACCTGGTGAGAGAAAAGAAACCTGTTGTAATAACTGATAAGGAAGAAATAGGGGACATATTAGGAGACCTTACAGAAGGATTCATTGACCAAATGATTAGATATATACTAATCAAAATTTCTAAGTCCCCAGGCAAGTTTTCGCTTTACTCCGCTTTTATATTGAAATATTTTAACAGTATAATTTAATAAGTATACAGGATAAACAAGTAGCAAAACAATTTTTTTCACTTTATTTAATTTATTGAAGTGTTTTAACACAAAGTGCAGAAAAGTTAAGGCACCCTAGAATTTAAACTTCGCAACGTTTAATACTGCATTATCCTCCATTCAAAAGAATTCACAGCAAGACAAATGCTCCTCAAAGAGTTCACACTATTTAAGAAAAAAATCTTTTATTGAATGATTTTCCATGTATTGACTAGGTCGACCTCTAGTTCTGCTAGATTCTGCTGCTGGAAAAGCTGTCTCACACTCCGGTCTATCTTCTTCCAGACATGCTTATAGGGACTGAGATGTGAATGACAAGGGGCTTACCTGTCTGTGGCTTGCTGACAATAGTTACATAACGCCTCCTTACATTTATTCCCCACTCCTCCAGTTTGACATTGAGGGGGGGGGGCATTTCCGGTTTCATTGATTTTTACGGATAAACTCTAGGAGGTTTTTTTGGTGGTTGTTAAAAATCTAGCGATCTCTTAATGATTGTAAGGAATTTAGGCATGCTGCGTAGGTCTTTCGAGTGGTAATTATAAAGGTTTGAAGTAAAATTAAGACATACAGCGAAAGGAAACAACACTCTCGTTAACTACGACCAGCTCGGGTCATTTCAACTTCACTTGCATATTGTTGTGTCGACTTAAACAGTATTTTAATCAAGCTTTTTTCTGTTTTTCGTTATCAATTAACGATAAAGAATACATGGAAGTGAAAAAATATATAAAATACACCCTAAAAACATATGAAACTCGAACGTCATGCTTTTTAACAAAAACGGTCACGGTTGAGTAATTACACATTCATATTACAAATTTTTTGTCCTTAACATGTAAACATTGAAAATTAAAGGCACATTTGTAAGCAGCAAGTAAATTGATATATTATTAAAGGTTTTAAACTTTTTGAAATAATAAAAGTAGGGACATTCCTTGAATCAGTTGACTCACTACAGAGAATAGAAAGAGAATCTGAAGGATTTATCCATATAGATTTTGCTGAAAACTATCAAACCAAGATAGGGAAGTAATTCCGAGCATGCAGTTTGGGGCGTCTCATGCTCAGATTACACTCCAAACTGGATTTTCATACAGTTGAAAAGATGCCAAAGTAAAATCATTCTGCACCGTCTTGAAAAGCATGGATCACACAGTCCATGTGCTGTGTGGGCTTATTTTAATTCCGTATTTAGATGAAATGCAGAGAGAAAATGAAGAACTTGACACCCTACATATATGCAGCGATGGTCCTGCTACACATTACAAACAAAAGGCAACTTTTACCTCTTTTCGACACAACTTGCTTTGGTTTCCCCTTTTTTGTTGGCATCCATCGTCTCCCTGTACTTCTTTTTCACGTTTTTCCATTTGTTTGTAATTTGCTGCTTAGATACCTTAATTCCAGACTAATTCTTTAAGGCTACTTGTGTTATGTTTGATACCCCAAACGTTAAAATTATTCAGATGGGAAACATTCAGATGATGTATTTAAGCATTTTGTGGATGCATCACATGAAGATGGGAATTCATATTCAGATGAATCACATTAGACTGAGTTA